AGGAGGGGAGGGGAGGGGAGGGGAGGGGAAGGAAAGGAAAGGGGAAGGGAAGGGAAGGAAGAGAGAAAGTAAGGGAAGGGAAGGGGGAGGGGAGGAGAGAGGAGAAGGAAAAGGAAAGGAATGAGAAGAAAAGAAAAGAAAAAAGAAAACAAAAAAGAAAAGAGAAAAGAAACAAAACAAAACGAAGACTCACACAGTTAGTCCTTTACTTACAACCACACTTGAATGCCAAATTCCTGTCACTAAGCAAGACAGTTGCTCCATGAATTTTGCCCCATTTGACGACCTTTCTTGCCACAGTCGTTAAGCGAATCACTGCAGTCGTTCAAATACTCACACGGTCGTTAAGCGAATCCGGCTCCCCCCATTGACTTTGCTTGTCAGAAGGTCACAAAAGGGGATCACGTCACCCCGGGACACTGCAACAGTCGTAAATAGGAGCCAGTTGCCAAGCGTCCGGATTTTGATCATGTGAGGATGCTGCAATGGTCATAAGTGTGAAAATGGGTCACAAATCCCTTTTTTTGTTGTAGGTTCGAATGGTCACTAAACGAGCCGTTGTAAATCAAGGACTCCCTGCATAGAACGGTTTGGGAGGAAGAGGAGGAGAATTGGAACTCGTGGGCATTTTGATAAATAATCAAATAAATAAATACATAAATTTTGATGCCATTGATGACGGATTGCACTACTGGAATGAAGTTAAGTCCGACACGAACTTACGACCGTCGCAGCATTCCCCCGTGATCACGTGATCAAAACTCAGAGGCTCGGCAACTGGCATGTACTTATGACAGTTGCAGCGTCCCGGGGTCACGTGATCCCCTTTTGCGACCTTCTGACAAGCAAAGTCAATGAGGGAAGCCAGATTCACTTAACAACCGTGTTACTGATTCAACCACTGCAATGATTCATTTAACAACCAGGGCAAGAAAAGTCGTAAAAGGAGGAAAAAAACCTCACTTAACAAACGTTTCACTAACAGAAATTGCTTGGCTGCTGACTCTGATTTATGACGGTTACAACCTCCTGTGATCCCCTTTTGCGATCTTCAGATAAGCAAAGTCAAAGGGAAAGCCATATTCATTTAACGACCGTGTGATTCGCTTAAGAGCCGTGGCCAAAGAAAAGGTCATAAAATTGGGCATGACTCACTTAACAACCGCCTTGCTTAGCAACGGAAATTCTATCCCATTCTGGTCGTACGTTGAGGACTACCTGTATGAGCAGGACCTGGAGAATGGGATCCTTTTGTGTCCGTGTGGGTCAAAAAATTCAAGATGGAGTCAACACTCAGGCCAGTGAAGCCCCATGTGTAAACAATAGAAACGGAATGCAGCTTGGCTCATATGACTGTGGCCGCCATTTTGACTTTTTTGACCTTTCGCCCTTCCTCCACAGTCCTGACTCCATCTTTTTCTGGCTGCCCTTTTAAAAGTCGGTCGGAGGTATCCTGGATGAAAAAGAAATCAACTTTTTTGTAAGAATAAGCTGCGATGGGTGAAAAGGAACAAAAACCCAAAATGCTGGCATTCAAAGTTGATGATTACAAAGAGCAGCCCAACCATGATTATCCAAATTTAAACTTCATTTTTGCAGGGCGTTTTTGTTCCCTCTCCCCAGTTCCCATTGACCTCAATCCCCTTTTTTTTGTGAAAAATTCCTCAGGAATTAAGGCCAGTTGTTCTCTCTTTTTTCCCCCCTCTGCAGGTGGTTCTGATGCCTCTCCATACATGAGCCCCCCACCCCATCATCCCCAGCTCCCAAATTAGGCCACAGAATCTAGAATTCGGAGGGTCCCTTGAGGTCATCTAGCCCAGCCCTGCACGGGCTGAGAGCCTACACACCAAGGCTGCTAGATCAATGACGCTGCAGTCTCTGTTCAAATGGAATGGGGGCTCCGAATCATCAAAGGAATTAATTTTTAATTAATTTGTAAACCTGTTTGTTTTGTTTTTTTTACATCCTGCATTCTGGCATAAGAGAGGATAGCCAGCAATGCATCTTGAGTGACAGCTGTGATTTTAAAAGGGGTCCTTCGTCCTGCCCACCCTTTTTCTATAACCTAAAATAATTTTTTATACTTAAAGAGGGGAGAGCCCTTGATTTACAGCAGTTTGTTCATGCTTCAACAGGGGAGGACTTCAACTCCCAGAATCCCCCAGCCAGCCATGCTTTAACAGGGGCGGACTTCAATTCCCTTATATTCGCTTTTTGCTTGTTTTCCCATCAAGGGCCCAGGAGAGCCCGAATTTATGTTTATAAATAGGTTCATTTGGCTGCCATTAGGATCCATCCCAACCTCAGTCGGATCTTTCCTTCCTTCCTTCCTTCCTTCCTTCCTTCCTTCCTTCCTTCCTTCCTTCCTTCCTTCCTCGTCTCTCCTCACCTTTCTCTTTCTTACTTCTCTCTTCTTCCCATTCTGTCTCTTTCTTCTTCCTTCCTTCGTTCTCTCTCTTCTTTTCTCTTTCTTTTCTTTCTTTCTTTCCTTCTTTCCTTCCTTCCTTCCTCTTTCTTTCTTTCTTTCTTTCTTTCTTTCTTCTGTTGTTTTCCTTCCCCCTTTCTCTTTCTCTCTCTTTCCTTATTCCCTTTCCTTCCTCCATCCCTCCTTCCCTCCCCCCCACCCTTCCTTCCTTCTCTCATTCTCTTGCTATAGAGTTTCCTGCCTAAGCAGGGGGCTGGACTAGATGACCTCCAAGCTCCCTTCCAACTTTACTACTACTACTACTACTACTACTACTACTACTACTACCATCATCATCATCATCATCATCATCATCATCATCATCATCATCATCATCATCATCATTATTATTATTATTATTATTATTATTATTATTATTGGGACAAGATTTTCCACTGCTAAGCCAGACAGTTGTTAACTAACTTTTGCCGTGTTTGATGACCTTTCTTACCAAGGTTGTTAAACGAATCACTGCAATTGTGAAGTGAATAACACGGTTGTTAAGTGAATCTGGCTTCCCCATTGACTTTGCTTGTCAGAAGGACTCAAAACTCCATTCTATTCTATTCTATTTTATTCTATTCTATTCTATTCCATTCCATTCTAATTTTAATTTTAATTTTAATTTTAATTTTAATTTTAATTTTAATTTTAATTT